GTAGTGTTGTCCGTGGATAACAACTTGTCCCTCAGCACAGGCTTGAAAGCGCGGAGGGCCTTTAGGACCGCCAACATCTCCAGCTCGTTGATGTGGAGCAATCTTTCCATCTCGTTCCAGCAGCCCCGGATGGTGAGGTCGTTGACATGAGCTCCCCATCCTTCCATCGACGCGTCTGTCATCAAGGACAGCTGGGGCTGTGGAGGAGAAAACGGCATCCCGGAGCAAACGTTGGTGGGATCGAGCCACCATCGCAGGGACCGAGCAACCGCTCTCGGTACCGCCAGCCATCGGGATGGAGAGTCTTGAGCTGGGTCGAAAACAGAAAGGAACCACGACTGTAGAGGTCTGAAGTGCAGTCGGGCCCAAGTCGTCACGAACATGGTGGAGGCCATGTAGCCCAGCGCCACTTGGATGGAATGCGTGGAGACGTGTCTCCTGTGCAGACAGTCTAGGATGGCACCTTTCAGAGCTTGGAAACGATCCTGTGGAAGGAACGCCATAGATGTAGTGGAGTCCAGTTCAGCGCAGATGAACCTGCATATTCGGGATGGAACAAGGCAGGATTTCTCCAGATTGATCAGGAGGCCTAGGGATCGAAGTAGGGACAGAGTGTAGTCTATGTCCTTCAGGAGTTGCTCTCAGGATGGAGCCACCAGAAGCCAATCGTCTAGATGTGGATAGATGGAAATAGCTTGTTGGTGCAAGAAAGCAACGACTGGAGCCATACATTTGGTGAAGACCCTCGGGGCAGTGCAGAGGCCGAAGGGTAGAACTCTGTAACAGAACGCCTGGTCGTCCACAGTGAAGGCTAGGAAACGCCTGTGGTCCTCCCGAATCCCGATATGAAAATAAGCGTCCTTGAGGTCCAAAGTCGCCATCCAGTCGTTTTCCTGCAGCAACGGTAAAATAGACGCCAAGGTTACCATACGAAACCGTTTGTATGATATGCATCTATTCAGCTGTCGAAGGTCAAGAATAGGCCTCAGTCCGCCATCCTTCTTTGGTACCGTGAAGTATCAAGAGAAGAAACAAGAAGTGTAAGCTGAGGAGTCTATGGGCTCTATGGCGCCCTTGTCCAAAAGAGAGCATACTTCGTCGAGTAAGGTATGGGGGTGTGGATAAGAAAACCCCAGTATGGGGCAATTCAGAAAACTCAAGGGCATAGCCATTGGCTATGATGGATAAAACCCAAGAGTCAGATGTAATTCGAGACCAAGAGGTGACAAAAGGTCTCAGTCTATCCCCGAACAGGAAGGGACCGGCGAAGTACGCTGCAGCACATCAGAATTTCTTTGGCCTGTCGCCATCCTTTCTGCAGTACTGCCGGAACCTTGACTGCAGGAAAGGGCGGCGTCCCGAGGAGGAGGAAGAGTTGGATTGAAACCTCTGCCTCGGCTGGTCGGGCGGGAAAGATTGCTCAGTGTGGGAGGCCCTCTGCTGATGTTGAGGGTACCCTGACCTCATCCCCCCCGAAGCGACGGCGCTGATGGTGCTGGGTGAATGAGGACGTACCGTGCTTCTTAGCAGCCACCTTCATCTTGTATTTCTGGTTAAGTTTCTCGTCCATACTCTTGTGGAAGAGGCCGGAGTCGTCGAATGATAAGTCCTCAATCATTGCCTTCGCGTTCGAGGTCAGGTCAGACAAGCGCAACCAGGCAAACCTCCTCAGTCCGATCGATCCCGCGACGAGCTTCGCCAAGCAGTCCGCGGAATGACGGGCCGAGACGATCTGTTGCCCCGCAACAGAATGTGCCTCTGACTGCAAGGCAACCGCCAATGCCTTTTTGTCCTCCGGCAAGTCCTCAAGGAGCGGCAGCATCGTCTCCATTATGTGCTGCTGGTATGCTCCCATGCAGGCGGCATAGTTGGCCACCTTCATGTTCAGCACCGCAGCAGCATAGGACTTCTTTGCGAGTCCGTCAATCTTCTTCCCGTCCCTGTCCACAGGCGAGGAAAACTTCGAGACTTGCGCTGTCTGGGCCCATTTGACAATGTCCGAGTTCGGCTTCGAATGTTCGAAAAGCCAAGACGATTGCGAAGGAGCAATCCGGTACAAGTTTTCAATTTTCCTGGATGTGGAAGCAACAGAGGCTGGGGCCACCCAGGAGCGCTCTGCAATGTCCTGCAGGGATGGTAGAAAACCGAGGGCCGGAGGTGTCGGGACCCTGCCATGAACTCTCCTCTCTACTGAATCCTTCGGTTGGTGATCCGAGCAGACCAGGTCGATGTCCAAAGCCTCCACCATCCGAACGACCTGCTCTGTAAAGAATTTGACGTCGTCGGTAGGGGAGGCAGGGTGGTGGTCAACCAGTGCAGAGTCGTCCCGAGGTGGATCTGGAGACAACGAAGGAGACGAGGAGGCCACAGAGAACACAGAGGGTGACCTTGAGCGAGAGGAGGAACGGGACCGCGAGGCATCTCGACACGACCGGTGGTGCTTCATCTGTAGGTGTCTCGGCAGAGGTGCCGGCGAAGCAGAACGGGATCGTGACAGCCGCCTGACTGGAGAGTGGTGGCACGGACATTGGAGCACGGTCCGAGGAGGTGATGGTGAAGCCCTTCGTGACTAGAATGAAGCTGCAGTGCAGCGGACCTAGAGGCAAGGTTCCTCGGGTCGACATGCTGCAGGAATCGCCCTGTGAGAGAATCAAAAATAACATCCGGATTCTCCCTCAGGATCCGTTCGGTCTCGGGATCGAGGAGAGCTTCGTTGGCCTCGGTACCAAGATTAGCTGAATCCTTGGGGAGCGCTGGAGCTTGCTCCGCCACCAACAACGGGATGTCATCCCTGATTTCTCCCTCCGACTCTGACTCGGAGGCCAGGGCCTGCAGCGGAGGAGATACAACCTTCAAGGGCGGCGGGATCGAGAGCACCGAAGAAGGCCCCGGGACCAGGGAAGGAGACTTAGAGCGCGCTGGTAGAGAGGGCTCCGTCTTGAGTTCAAGGCGATGTTTAGCCTTTTCAGGCCGGACCCGCGATTTCTTCACGGCAGGTTCCTCGGTCTTCGATACCTCTTCTTCAAGGGAATGGCGCCTTTTGGATAACTTCTTGCGAGGCTCTGGGGAACGAGCGCGCTCGGAGGACGCCTTCTTAGAGGCCTTTTTAGGCTGATCCACAGGCACATCAGCCGTCTTTTTCGAGGCTGATTTAGAGGCCGAGTCTCCTGTAGAGCCATCTCCCGAGAAAGCATCTTTGGGAGGACGGAGAGCCTCTTCATAGAGGGCAGCCTTAAGCCGCTTGTCCCGATTCCTCAAGGCTTGAGAAGTCATCAAGCGGCAATCCAGGCAAGCTTTAGGATTATGCCCCTGACCCAGACAAAGCAAACACAAAGAATGCGGGTCGGAATTAGGAATCTTATTGTTGCATTTGGGGCAATGCTTAAATGACTCAGATGCCATTTCAAAGCAATTGAAAGCGAGGTCAACAATCCGAGGTCACCAGGGGCTAACAAGAATGTAGAAGAAGCCAAATCGAAGTCAAGAACAGTCCGAGGTCAGAAACGAGTGATTCCAAAACGCTAGAGTTTGCTAATGAGCAAAAGAGGTTCCTCTGAAGCTGCTAATGCGGCGGACGAAAGGAACTGAAGGGAGCGGTACCGACAGAGGTCCTATATAGGGATGGGCGGAGCTACCGCCAAAAAGTTGCAACTTAAGTCCAACCCAGGGAAAAGTTGCAACTTTAATTCTGCCTAGTGATTCCAGAAGGTTCCGAAGTTGCTGCGCATGCGCAGTCATTACCCATTTGTGTGATTCGCAGAGACCACGAAGAAGAACAGTAGTTTAATGAAGGATAATGGCACTTCATTATGTGAGTGTGAGCGTTCTGGGAACTACTAACAGAACGCTCACACTCACAGCGGATTCTCTGGCACATCACGGTAATTAAACCAATGTAATATTACTCAACATTTGTCACACAGATGGAGCCTCATGGCTACTAGCAGCTGGAGGCTGCACAGGATCAATTCTATCCTCACCTACCTCATAACCGACAGGCATGACAATCTGGTGGAAGGCAGCCAGGTACTCAGGGTCTCCCATTCGGGGGCAGTTCCAAGGCACGTTAAGGGTGAAGCCCTTGCCGGGCCCCAAGCCCACCCGGTCGTAGTTGGCATCATCAGAGGTGGGGAAGAAAGTTCCATTGTCATAGCGGTGGATGGAGACATACAGGACACTAGATTGAAAGTGGAAGGTGATAAGAGTAGGGAAGCAATGAATGTCTTGCTTGTCCACACTCACTGAGCATTTGCTAAACAGGATACCTAGAAACTGCACAGCCATCATTGTACAGAATACACTTACCAAGCATGCCTTTCCCAACAGACACCTTGTTTCTAAAAGACCATGGGGAGCTTCATGATCTTACACAGCCAGGGCAAGGGTGCACAGGCTTCAAGCTTGCTAAATGACTTTGTTTTTGTTTATTTTTTTAGTTATTTAATTTATATGTTGCCTTTCTCCCAAAGTGGGACCCAAGGCAGCTTACAAAAGGAAATAAATTAAAATCTACCAGTGCAATTTTAAAAACAATTACAACAATCACAGTTAAAACAATATAAATTGTTTTAAAACATATAGAAGTTTAAAAATAAAACATCTCCCAATAAAAGAAGACTTTTTGACTTTGTTTTTCTCTGTGATGGTGAAAAATAATGGTTAAGAAAATGGCAAAGGTGGATAAGATGGAGGACATACACTTCAGAGGATGAAATTTAGTGCTTCTGAACCCATTCCAAGCCCAGGAATCTGTTTTCAGCACCAGAACTGAACTGATCTCACACTCTGGATGGCCCTTGGGGTCTATTCCAACTCTACGATTCTTTTGACACAAAAGCCCATTCCTAGTTTTCCCTCAAGCTTATTTCAGCAGCCAACCAGAGGTAGTAAAAGTCCTCTAGCTGCTGCTACTTCTAAAGAATTAGGAGCCAGAACTCTCTGCCAATCTACTGCAAATCACTCTGTGATCTATAGGTAGAGCCTAATCTTCCTTCTGGAGAGCCAGCATGGTGTAGTGGTTTGAGTACTGGACTAGGACTCTGGAGACCAGGGTTTGATTCCCTGCTCAGCCAAACCTACTGGGTGACCTTGGGCAAGTCACACTCTCTCAGCCTCAGGGGGAGGCAATGGCAAATCTCATCTGAACAAAATTTGCCACAAAAACCCCATGATAGGGTCGGGTCACCTTATGGTTGCCATAAATCAGAAACAACTTGAAGGCACACAACAGCAATGTTGTCCTACCTGTTCACCCCTATGCTAGCATTGCCACACCCCTAGTGATCCTTCCAGATGAAGTTTTTATTGTGCAACTGCCCATCCCCATTCACAGAATTTTACAGAAATGGTGGAGGGGGAGGAGACGACATTGTTTTTCATTTTATAATCCTTCATCTTTCTCCATCCATTAAGGAATGAAAATCAGAACAGTGGCACTGGGCTTTTGGACCAGTTGATCTAGAAGTCATCTGTTTCAAGGTATCCCACATCTCTTCTCATGGCCTATTTCCTAATACAGCTGACTTGTGAACCATTATTTTCTGCTCCTCATTATTTCCAGGATCCAACTTAAGCATATAATCATTGATCTTAAAAATTAAAAAAATTAATGCTAGCATTTTAAAGTTTACCTCTTACTACATTTATGGTAATTCCTGCCTCATTTTTTAAAGCTATCCTGAGCCTATCTGATGGACACATGGCATTAAAAAAAAAACAAATGAAGAAATGGTCCCATAATTAGCAGTATTTATGCTAAATGGCTAAGGATAGGGTTTCCAACTGCAGAACTTTAAGTCTTTTGTCCCTGGTGGGAAACTATCACTGGAAAGGAAGAAAAACTATTCATCACAAAACTGAAGTACAGCCCAAGTTAAGCAAATACAGTTTTTTTTTTAAAAAAAAGGAAAGGAAAGAAACAATAAACCCAACTCCAAGGGAAAACAGTTACAGAGTTTCTTTAGAAATGCAGGTGAAAAATTCAGAAAGATACCTGGGATCATTTTCAAACATGTGCTGTGTCCCATTGCCATGGTGAACATCCCAGTCTAGTATCATCACCCTAAGGAATGAAACCAAAATTGACAGGTACCTATTTCCAAATTATAAACAGTTAAAGGCATCCTAACTAGCATAATATCTCCCTTTAGCCATTGTTTAGGCATGTCAGCAGAACTATGACTACTAGGAATACTGCTACAGAACAAACCACAGGAGCTAAACCTGCTTACATTTCTGGAAGCAGATGTGCTCCATGACTCCTGGTGCTAGAGCCACCTCACCTCATAGGCCGCCCAGCCAGGCGCTGTGCGTATCGAGCAGCCAAGGCCACAGAGTTGAAGAAGCAGAAGCCACAGGCGGTGTCTGATTCAGCATGGTGTCCAGGTGGTCGGACGATGGCCACAGCATTTTGGACCTGATACCCCAAAAAAAGAAAAGCTACTTGGATCACTGTTAGCAGAACTGCAGCATAGCACTGCAGAACTCGAGTCAAGAATCCATCTCCAATTTGACAGAAAAGGCAGATTCCCAACCATGGTGGGTGTTTTTTTCCTCACAGGCAACAGAAAACCTATTTATTTACCAAGCACTTTCCTGTTCACTAACTTCATTATTTTATTATGGGTTCACTCTGTATTTAGTTGGTTTTACTGAAATTTCTTCATTTTTCATACCGTAACATGCTCTGATTTAGATTGGTTTTTAAAACTGAAGGCTGATAGGAAGTGCCAGCCTTTCCCAGAAGCCTTGATGACAGCTTGACATCAATACCATCCCTATGAAGCTGTGGCCCAAAGAGACCTCAGAGATCACTGTAGCTCTCAGTCTATCAAATGGGCTCTCCCTCAAAATCTTACAGGCCCAATTTATTTATTTCATTTGTATGCCAGCTTTCTCCCAGGGTTTTATCACACCAGGCTGCTAAGACACCACAGTCATAAAAAATAAAAATAAAAAAATGGCTAGTTCATTTTAAAATGGCAAAAGATTCTCCATGTCTTGCTTTTGTCCCTCAAAATGGGCAAAACCTTGCCCCCCACCGTTGCTGGAGCTCACCTCCTGAGAGAGTACAGCCTCAACTGCACTGAAGGCGGAACCAGCTGCCAGCCGGGCACATTCATAGGAGCTGGTGCAGATGTAGATGGAATTGTACTGGTCACCCTGGCGATGCAGGTCACGGGGCTTCATGGTGGCAGTTGACTTCACTGTCTCTACATAGGCCAGGCTGGAGAGAGGAGGAGAGGTAAGAAGGGATTGTATCTCAGGAAGAGTTGGGATGCATACACTTTCAGAAGTTACTGAACCAAACCGTACCCAAAGTCTGGGGCCTTCCGAACTCGCCACATACCTCTCAGAAGAATCAAGGCTGTATGTAAACAGGAACCTGTCATACCTGTGGCACATTCGCAACTCCTCTTCAGAGGCAAGCCGAGCTGGGAGCCGACGGCATCGTTCTGTGAGACGTAGCTCCCCATGGCGCTGGAAAATCCGGGAAACTCTCTGAGGCAGCTCTGGATGTTGACTGAGGGGGGGAAAGAGGACACTAAGAGAGGCAGAGAGTCAAGGGAAGTGTAGATGAAATTCAAGGGGTAATGGAAATACACTACTTTTTAGCCTTTTTGTCAAGGGACTCTGGAAGGATGAAGAGTCACACACAAAAAAGTCACCAGAGGTCCACATTTAGCCTACAGGCCACACTTTGTCCAGCTGTTTTAAAGGAATTGGAACAACACCCCCTTTCAAAAATAAACCTTCACAGCCTCCACCCCCCACCTGGCTGAATACCCTGAATATCCTGAAAAATACTGTACCTTGAAAAACACCCTTTATTAAACCTAGCCAAGTGCCTACCTCAGTTAACTCCAAAGAGATCCTCAATGCAGAGTCTACGTTGAACTGGATATGAGCAGTCTTCTTTGCAAATTCATCACGTACTTAGAAATATGGGTGAGCATCTGTCCCAGTTAACATGTACAGCAGGGGTGAGGAAACTTTGGCCCTCCATATGTTTTGGCCTACAACTTCCATCATCCCCATGCAGCACAGCTACTGGTAAGAAAGTCTGAGTAGTCCTCTAAGGTGAGCCACTGTCTTCATCCCCCACTGTATTTATATGGAAAGGGGAGCCCACACATCAATTTCATGGCAACATTTCAATTGGGTGATCCTACTTCACAGTCCTCCCCATGTGTCTATTTTATGCTATTCTACACTAGAATGGTTCTAAAAATGAACAACGAGAGAGGACATAAGGTTATAATGGGATATAAAAAAAACCATTAAACTCATCTTACCACTGAAAGAAATAAATCCTTACCTGTCCCACATATTGTAATGCTCTGTCATCTTCTCATCATAGACCAACCCTGTGCGTGAAGGTGGCAGGGGTTGCATCAGTTCAGCTGCTGACTTGGACAGGATCTCACTTACTGATGGGGGGCTGGCTGGCTGCAAAGCTTCACTTAGTTCTCCTCCATTCTCCTGAGGCACATCAGCACCTGTGGCATTTATTAGTTACTTTCCAGTGGAGCTCAAGATGATATACAATCAACCTGTGAAGTAGTCAGGCTGAGAGGGACTGGTTCCAAATGAATGAAGAGTCTCAAAGAGAATCTGACTCCCCTAGATCCCAGCCCAAAATTCTCACCACTACACCACACTATTAGAGAGGGAAGAAAAGACCAGAAACATGTAGAGGTTTTAAGGGTTTTGAATTTCCTAGAAGGAACTGTAGCCCACTGAGTAGAAAGGGATGGCTTATTGCTCATGGGGGGTGGGAGGGGAGAGAGAGAGCTCAGCTCAGGCACTTACTAATCCTCCTCAGGTTCTTCCAGTACTTGCTGTGAACCGCAAGTGTCTGGGACACAGAGTGGAGGGCACTGCCAGGAGAGAAAAGATTTAGAAAGTGCTTGGGGGATGGGGGTGGCACTTAAGGAAGTGGCACATGGGGGTGGCACCTAAGGAAGATAATATTCTCTCACCTGCTGCATGGTGTGAGGGGCGATTCCAGCAGAGGGCAAGGGTCTCCTAGAAGAGCCTTGAGGACTGTGCAGGTTCCTTCTGCCAGGGACTGGAGATTGTATCCACCCTGAGGAGGAGAAGGAAGAGGAGAAGGACGCACTCTATCTTCATTGGACTCCTTCTCCCAAAAAGTGGCTAGTAGCCCCACCAACATGGAGACAGAAAAGGCAAATCACTCACCTCCAGGGATAGAACCAACTTGCCTCCAGAGAGAAGCATCAGCAGATGTGTCAAATGAGCAAAGCATCCTGGAGTGGTGGACATTTCCCCCTACAGTACAAGGAAGGGACCATGTCACTCTCTGGCCTTATTCTTGAGGGATAGCCAACTACACTGCAGCAACCTCTCAGAAGCATCTCAGGAACTGAGATGAGACCCTAAGGGCCATCCAGTCCAACCAGCTCCCATGCAGGATATCTCAAAGGCTCTAACAGCCACACATCAGGCAGATCACTGTTAGGACTGAGAAAATATTCTCTTGGCCCTTATGTGTGAGGAAGCTGCTTCCACATTGTCATCTTGCAATTCAAGCAAGCCTTACATCAGAGCCTAGGAAACTTTTCTTCAGACTCCTCCTCGCATCAGCTGGCATAACAACAGGCCAAGCTGGCTATAAAGAGTCTAGAAACATAACATTGCTGAGTTCTGCCTTAAATCTAGGTAAGTAGCAGGGGTGGAAGGGCTGCAGAATGAGGAGAAAGGTTCTTGCCTTCCCGTGACCATCATTTGTAGCCCTTCACTCAAATCATTGTCACCAATGTGAGAACAAGGAAAGAGGTCCAGTCCCTCATTTTCAGTCTGCCAACTGTGTGTGAATAGAAGATTGACAAGTGAACAAGCACATTTTCTCACCTCCTCCTCTTCTGTCACCAACCATTGGAGCTAGAGTCAAAAACCTAACATCATCCTCTCATGGGTGCCTGGTCAGCAGGTGTAAAATGACCAGAGATCATATTGTCTCTTACTGATCATGAACTGAAAGGGGTTCTTTTTTATTATTTGATGTCCTCTTTTCTACACAGAGTACATTACATATGTTTTTGATATGACA